ACCCGCAGCACTGGCTGCTGCTGTGTCTTTTACTGGGAAACACGGTTTCCCCGCGGGAGAGCCCAGAGCGCGCAGGGACGCGCGCGCACACACGCAGACCACGCACACTCACTCATTGACACGCGCGCGCGCACACACATACACACATACAGATACACACACACACGCACGCACCCGCGCCCGCTCGCTCCTTCACAACTGCATCTCCAAACCGGCAGAGCGAAGCTCCTGCGATTTCTCTTAACCTCACCATCGTGGGACGAAGCAGGGCCATTGTGCATTGGGGAAAGCCCGGTGCCTGCGCTGTCGCGTCGGGTACAGAACCCAGCAGAACGCGCACCCCATCGGGTAAGTCAGTCTCTCTCCTTGTAACCGGTTCGGGGTTGGTGCCTGCAGACTGGAGGGAGGAGGTGAGAAGCTGCCGGTGCGCCAGTGGGGGTGAGGCCAGAGTTGACTTAAATTTCAGGGGCATGCAGTGTCCTCTGGCTAGAGCAAGTACGACTCCCTGTTACTTCTTCTACCAACCCTGGAGTTGCCATCACCTTTCTCCCCTCCCCCCAACCCCAGGTATACTGTGCTCCTTGGTTGCCAAGGAGACTTCCTGAAACATCAGCCTTGGGACATCTGTTGAAAGAACTGGTTTCTTCAATGGTGCTGTTGTTTATTTTGATTTTTTTTTAAATAAAAAATATACACAGGGCCATGTGGTAATTTGGCATTCGTTAATCTGTATTCAGGCGATGATTTCATTCAACTTTAAGAAAATCGGTAATTGCACTATATGATATGCTTTAAAGAAGATTCGTCAGATGAATTTTTCATCGGATGTGTCTTGAATCATAAATTACTCTTATTTTGGTGATCTTATAAAGAAAGCTGATCCCAGTTAAAATCCTTTCTTCCTCTCTACTTATTGTATTTTGCATTTCATTCAGATGTGATTATCTTAACATTGAAAGCAGAAGATAAATAAATTTATCGTACAAGGATGGTCTTCTATTGTAAATTGACCAGAACAGGAATACATATGTGAAATTCCTAATGGAAGGAGTAAGCACCCACAACACACATCTTTGCTAACATTTCTATATCCACTGAATTATCATTTCAGCGCAGTTTTCTGCACCTCTTCCATTTCTGAGATTTTTCCAGTCTCTTATTGATTATTTGACATATGTAGATAGATGTTAGATCTAAAATGTGTGCCATGTCTTAATACTCCAGATTCCAAGTTTTTGGAGCTCATGTTAAAACATAGGAAGGATGCACAGAGAAAGCTTTTTAGACCCTGTTGTTGTTTTCCCTCATGGATTGAGCCCTTTACTGGAGCAGGGTAAGACCCAAGGAGCAGGCCAGTGCTCTAATCTTGGAGGATCTCCTAATCACTGGGCTGTCGGTTTTATCTTGAGGCCTCCGGTGCCTAGTGGATGAACTTACTACACAGCATTTGAAAGGGTCAGCCATCTGGTAATTACACTTTGCACTAATTTCATACCTCCGTCACAACAGAAATGACCTAGTAAAGATCCGTGGCATTCAACAGTTCATTTTGTTTTCCTTTAATATTTGTTCATCTTTTCTATCTTTTATTAAACAATGTAAGTAAATATATAAGATTCTTTTTATTTAGACTTTAAACTGTGTCATACAGGATGTAATAATGTGAGAATCAAGGAAGCCAATATAACTGAGGTAGGTAGAGGGGATTTATGCAACTGAAAGAGAGCTGGGAAATGAATAACGGTGACAAACATTTTACATTACAGTTTACAAAGTACTTTCTGTATACTTCCTTTTTAGTCCCTGTAACAACCTTGTGAAATCAAGGAATTATCTTCATTTTAAAGCTGACGGGCCTGAAAACTCACAGCTTGCTGAAGTTACAGAGCTAGTGAAGGGGAAAGCTCTTTTTTAGATCTAGGCTCTTTGCCTTTAAAACTTTCCTGTACCTGCATTTCCAGTGTGTGCAAGGCTTTGACAGGTGAGATGAAGGAGTGGAGCATCCTGGTAGGAGACACATGGGAGGGAGGGAGATGAGGATTTTGGCTTCTGGAAAGAGAAAACCACTATAAATGGGGCAGCTCCTACTGTAGCTGATTGTTGCCACAGTTCTAAAAATTCCTTTTCACAGAAAACTGAAGTTTCCAGATGTTTTTATGTAATATGTCCTTAATTTTAGAAACTATAAGGAACACATTATAAATATATCTAGGCCACATGTGGCCTGTGGCCTGCTAGTTTGCAATCAATCCATATCTACTAGGTCTCATTCATTTCTATACTATTTTTCTCTAACAAATACATCCATCATTATAAGAGTGATTAAGAGTTTTCTGATTTTAATATTAAAATCTCTAAAAATGTTCCTCATCATTTCTTCAATAACAGGGTCCAAGTGTGTTTTTGAGGTTTCTTTGGTCCTTTATGTTATATTTCAGAGAATATGAAAGAGCGTGACGTGGTCCAAAATAGGAATTTTTCAATCTGGTGAAACAAAAGCATTTATAGTTTAAAACATCTTATGTTCCTGGCTTCATTTTTGTTTTGGGCATAGGACTAGAAAATATAGAAAATGTCAGTTGAAGGGAATAGGTGGAATAATATATATATATATATTTCCTGAATCTTTCAATGAAAAATTCCTCTTAGGATTTTAGGTAGTTAAAGCCACCACAGAATACTGCAAATTCCAAAGGAACAAGAACATAAATGGGAACTCGAAGGAACATTCATTCCAGGACCCTGGCAGAGAAAAGTCTGTTTGTTCCTTAAATAATCTTGCAATGCATTGAATACCTTTTGAGAAGCTGCCTCTTTCTCACATTCCTACTAAAGCTGTAGAGATGTCAGTAGATTTCTCCGAAGCATATCTAGTAATCAGAAAGAAGGGAGGAGACGGGAAGAGGTTAACCAAAGAACATATATTCATAGTCCATGGACATAGACAGTAGGGTGGAGAAGGCCTGGGGTGGGGCGGGGTTGGGTGGAGGAGGGATGGAAGGAAATGGGTGACATCTATAATACTGTCAACAATAAATAAATAAATAAAATCAAGAAAGGAGTGTGATTTTATTTACATTGTTTCTTGTGGACCCAAAGAGGTGTCATTTAGAAAAAAAAGCCAAGCCAGGCCAGCATGGCTCAGTGCTTGAGCGTTGACCTATGAACTAGGAGGTCACGGTTAGATTCCCAGTCAGGGCACATGCCCAGGTTGCGGGCTTGATCCTCAGTAGGGAGTGTGTAAGCGACAGCCAATCAATGATTCTCATTATTGATGTTTCTCTCCCTCTCCTTTCCTCTCTGAAATTAATAAAAATATATTTTTTAAAAAAGAAAAGTTTCTCAATAAATTAAAAAAGCCGAGATTTGGACAGGGACTTCTAGTAGTTCTCTTACTCTAAAATCATCCTCTAAAGCAGTGGTTCTCAACCTGTGGGTTGCGACCCCTTTGGGGGTCGAACGACCCTTTCACAGGGGTTACCTAAGACCATCGGAAAACACATATATAATTACATATTGTTTTTGTGATTAATCACTATGCTTTAATTATGTCCAATTTGTAACAATGAAAATATATCCTGCATATCAGATATTTACATTACAACTCATAACAGTAGCAAAATTACAGTTATGAAGGAGCAACGAAAATAATTTTATGGTTGGGGGTCACCACAACATGAGGAACTGTATTAAAGGGCCGCGGCATTAGGAAGGTTGAGAACCACTGCTCTAAAGGATGCTTTAATCTATACATATAAAAGCCTAAGTGACCGGCAGACAGACAGTAGCTGTGACGCGCACTGACCACCAGGGGGCAGATGCTCAATACAGTAACGGAAACCACAGGCATGGAAACATGGAATAGACTGATGAATCTCAGAGGGAAGGGGGGGGAAGGGCGGAAAGAGATTAACCAAAGATCTTATATGTGTACTTGAGTCCCGGTGCATAGATTCATGCACCGATGGGGTCCCTTGGCCTGGCTTGCAGGGATTGGACCAAAATCGGCTCTCTGACATCCCCCCAAGGGGTCTCAAATTGTGAGAGGGTGCTGGCTAGTCCGAGGGACCTCACCGGTGCACGAATCCATGCACCGGGCCTCTAGTCCTATATAATAAAAGAGAAAAATGGTAATTGGCGTACGGTGATACCCTTTTCATTGGCTAATCAGGGCTATATGCAAATTAACTGCCAACTCAGATAGCAGTTAACTGACAACAAAATGGCGGTTAATTTGCATATGTAGGCACAATGCAGGGA